ATGAATTTCTTAGCCTGAACACTTCACAGTTCATCAGTATTGAGGTTCTGCCTCTTCCGAGGCAATTCACAGGAAAACCAGAGTGTGGAAAAGTTACTTCTTTGGATTAGAGCTCCCAGAATCCCCAATATGTGCTGCATGGAGGATTCTTGTATTTGTAGTTCACGAGCTAACCTTTCCACACACACCAAGGGACACACAGTTTCCTCAAGTCTCAGATCTGTCATGGAGATCGAATTGGGCCTTCTTGCTATCTGCAGCAACTGTGGGGCATATCACCATGGCAACACTCAAATTATTCTCCAGACAGGCCATTCCAAAGTGTTCTTGCTTCATAGTTTTTATGTGAGAAAGACAATGTAATGTCGCTAATTATTTCATGTAGGCTAGTTAGAGCTCACTTTGAGTCTTTTGTTTAGCTGTGGCTCAACTGTTTAAGACAATGGCTAGCAACAGATGCTAACATGGATTAAAGATACTAGACAAATCATACAGTACAAGGAAAGGCTGAAACTAGCCTTGAGCTAGATGGTTTGTCATGAGGAATCTGCCATGACATGCACAAATTCCACAGAGATGTTCTGCATTTATTCAGGCAACAAATCAATGTGGAAAAAGTCCCTGAGGGCTGGAAGTACAAAATCTACTTGACTTAGTCAAAGGGGAAGGGGGGTTATAGGCGACAATTGGAAAGTTTTTCGAGAACCTCAGAAAGAACAGGGTTGTTCCCTCATCTTGTCTGCTAAAGAAGGAGGCTGCAGTAGAATTATAGGATTATAGGGTCAGCGTGGATGATTGTACAATACCTGTATATGTACAGTTGTTGATTATTTGCTTCCAGATACCTTTGTACAAAAGGTACCTCTGTTTCATCGTTATTGTTTTGCCAGCACTTGGAGATTATTTTTCTGTCACTGGGCAAATGTGTGATTCTTCCTTAGTTTGCATGTCAATTATTATTTTGAGTGTTGCAGGGAATAAGGCTGCAAAAACATCTCACGGGCACCTGATGGATGAATGTCTGTGATGTCAGTGATTCCGAAAGATACCTCTTCTCCTCCCAAGTCAGCCCGAAATCTTTTTAAAAGGTTGTTTTTAATAATGTTTTTCAAAATTAAAGAATGTACTATTCCAGCAAGAGCGACTTCATTTTGTATGCAAGAACACTTCATCCTCCCGTCATAAACAAGCTCAGAATTTCATAAATCCTTTTCAGGCTATACTATGCCCTTTCTTGGAGAAATTAATTCACAAGATGGGATAAAATGTGATAGCTAACCTATTACAGGTTCACCCCTTCTTATTACTGAGTGATAGGTATCATTATCAGGTAAAAACAATATTATGAGTTCCCCTCAGAACCATTTAGTTAAAACTGAGAGTCCTGTTTAGCGTTTAGAGTCCTGATTATGATTCATGTGTAACATATCCTAAGTGAGGATAAATAATGACAACAAAGTTGCTTATTTTAAGGAACAGTTTTTATTTTAAAAGACAGTCACATCTGTAGTTTTAGAAGAGGTAACTGTGTTAATCCATCCTAGCATATTAGGCAAAAACAAAAACAAAAATTAAGAAGACAACAATAGTGTGGCACCTTGAAGATGGAACCGGACCTGTCTGAGAAAACTCACATTAAAATATAGCAATTAGTCTTTAAGATGACACAACATTTTTGTCTTTTTTTATTTTTGTTTTGTTTTTGCCAGTCATATCAATGTGAACAATGTGAAACATATAATTAAGTATTATAGCTCTGTTAATGGAAACCTCAAACCCGCTCCTACAAATGCCCCTCATGTATACATTTTTGATCTGGTGGCTCTAGCAACTTCAAATAGCTACCATATCTCTTCCAGTTGATCAGTAACATGCTAAAAATGCCTTTTTGTGCCTGCTTTCTCTGCATTAGAGATTTTAATTGGTTGGTATGCAGACTAATCCCCCATAAAAACTTGAAAATGTTATGCAGAAGTTTTTAATATATTTTGCAGGATGACAGTCCTAGTATTCCTTATGAGGGGAGTATCACTGTGTCTATAATACAGGTATACTGTATTTGTTTCATTTCTACCCTACCTTTCTCCCAGTGCAAGGACCGAATCTACTACCGTGTTTCCCTGAAAATAAGACGAGTCGTCTTATATTAATTTTTGCTCCAAAAATGCATTAGGGCTTATTTTCAGGCGATGTTTTTTTTTTTCATGTACAACAATCTACATTTATTCAAATACAGTAATGTCATCTTCTTCTGGTTGCTGCACAATGGTGGAGGGTGGGATTTCACTTAACTGGGGCTTATTTTGGGGGTAGGGCTTATATTAGGAGCATCCTGAAAAATCATACTAGGGCTTATTTTCAGGTTAGGTCTTATTTTTAGGCAGACAAGGTATCTACTCACAGTCATACGGAGAGATGCAATACATTTCTTAATGTGGACAAAAAGTTTTATGACATCACACAGTAACAAGCTGTATTTGGCATATGTTTTTGTCTACTGCTGCCCATTTAATCTGTCGACTGCTATCCATGACAACTTATGCTAAATTTTATATATATATATAAATAAAGATGCTAGAAGACTATTTGTTCTTTCTGAGGGGTTCCCCCAGCACCCCTCCCCTCACCTCAGAAAAGTTTTAATTTTTGGAATAAAACATGTTCTCCACTAGAGCGTGTGAGGAGCATTTTTCAGTTGAAAAACTTCCCCTCAATAACCCCCCCCCTTTTAAAAAGTTAAGAAAACCCCACTGTATCAACTTCTTTAGCCTAGGGCCCTCAACTCGTGAGATTTCTTACGCCTGCGTAAGAATAATTAAACCCTGGCCTTTCTTAATTTTAATGTCTCTTAGTTATTAGTCTCTTAATTATTAGTCTCTTAATTTTAGTGTCTCTTAGTTATTTTCATTGTGAGTAGAAAAGTGTGGTTGAACAGGTGATTAATTTACATTGACAAGTATATATATACAGTGGGGTTTTCTTAACTTTTTAAAAGGGGGATTATTGGGGGGGGAAGTTTTTCAACTGAAAAATGCTCCTCACACTCTCTAGTGACGAACATGTTTTATTCCAAAATGTAAAATTTTTCTGAGGGAAGGGCAGGGGTGCTGGGGGAGCCCGTCAGAAAGAACAAGTAGTCTTCTAGCATCTCAAAAAATAATACATTTTATTTAGCGTTAGTGTGTGTATATAATACTAGGGCTTATTTTCAGGTTAGGTCTTATTTTTAGGCAGACAAGGTATCTACTCACAGTCATACGGAGAGATGCAATACATTTCTTAATGTGGACAAAAAGTTTTATGACATCACACAGTAACAAGCTGTATTTGGCATATGTTTTTGTCTACTGCTGCCCATTTAATCTGTCGACTGCTATCCATGACAACTTATGCTAAATTTTATTATTTTCAGGTTAGGTCTTATTTTTAGGCAGACAAGGTATCTACTCACAGTCATACGGAGAGATGCAATACATTTCTTAATGTGGACAAAAAGTTTTATGACATCACACAGTAACAAGCTGTATTTGGCATATGTTTTTGTCTACTGCTGCCCATTTAATCTGTCGACTGCTATCCATGACAACTTATGCTAAATTTTATATATATATATAAATAAAGATGCTAGAAGACTATTTGTTCTTTCTGAGGGGTTCCCCCAGCACCCCTCCCCTCACCTCAGAAAAGTTTTAATTTTTGGAATAAAACATGTTCTCCACTAGAGCGTGTGAGGAGCATTTTTCAGTTGAAAAACTTCCCCTCAATAACCCCCCCCCTTTTAAAAAGTTAAGAAAACCCCACTGTATCAACTTCTTTAGCCTAGGGCCCTCAACTCGTGAGATTTCTTACGCCTGCGTAAGAATAATTAAACCCTGGCCTTTCTTAATTTTAATGTCTCTTAGTTATTAGTCTCTTAATTATTAGTCTCTTAATTTTAGTGTCTCTTAGTTATTTTCATTGTGAGTAGAAAAGTGTGGTTGAACAGGTGATTAATTTACATTGACAAGTATATATATACAGTGGGGTTTTCTTAACTTTTTAAAAGGGGGATTATTGGGGGGGGAAGTTTTTCAACTGAAAAATGCTCCTCACACTCTCTAGTGACGAACATGTTTTATTCCAAAATGTAAAATTTTTCTGAGGGAAGGGCAGGGGTGCTGGGGGAGCCCGTCAGAAAGAACAAGTAGTCTTCTAGCATCTCAAAAAATAATACATTTTATTTAGCGTTAGTGTGTGCATATATCAATGTAAATTAATCACCTGTTCAACCACACTTGAATATATATATATTCAGTTAACACAACCAGATAGATGAATACAACTTGGGAAAAGCCAGACTCCACGAGAATGCAAGTAATGCTAATTTTTGAATAAAGTTTCAGCCTGACCAAATTTTCTGAAATTTCATCTGAATTTTTGAAATTGATACTCACTGTTCTTTATAGAGCAATAATGTGATCAACTTAAGACAAATGTCAAGGTCAGTAATTTACACTGTTTTCAAAACACCGTTTCTTCTAATGACATCTGCTAGCATAAAAAAATGGCATGAAGTTTTCATAAGGCAAAAAGACTAATTTGAACGTCAATAAACATTGAGTTGAATAATCCCTCCTCCTTCAAAGCATATATTACACTTCTAGAAACAAGACAGGTGCTGGATCAGACCCAAAGCCTATGTTTTCTAGCTTTCTGTTCCCACAATAAGCAACCACATGCCAGAACCAGACATGAATGCAACCGTGCCACCTTGTTCATGTGTCCTGTCTCTGTCATGCCCCGCCTTCTCCTTTTTTCCCCCTTAACCAAAAAGCCCAAAAGGTTGTAACTACAGTAATTGTTCTAGACATAGTAGCCAGTGATTTTAGATTTGGGAATTCTGAGGGAAGTGGAGGCTATTTGTTAAGGTTAACACAGAAAAGCCAGGAGTTTGAAGCATTTTCATACACCTGCCTTATTTATTTGTGTTGCCCCTTTACTTTAGCCTATTTTTTTCACAGATTCCAAGCAAAATGGTGATGCAGCAAATGCAGCGTTGGCGAATGAGGATTGCCCAACAATTGACCAGGCCCTGTCACCTGAAGAGAAGTCACCTGTCACACCTGCTGGTCGGGAGCGCTATAACCGTGACCGAGCCTGCTTCCTCCTCTCCACAGGTGATTTTGGACAGTCACCTGATGGCAACATCCGGAAAGGTACACACATTTACATCAGTTTTGCCCTGCCTCTTTCCTCAAGGATATCATCTAAATACTTGCCTCACTAGGCCATCTTTGCCCTTCAATGCCACCTTCATAACCTTTGTCATAGCAAAACCTAGAATTGCCACCTTTCCGGGATAAAAAGCACAATTATTAACATTGAGATCAAGCTGTGGAGAAAACAGGAGATGGGGAATAAGATCAGGAGTGATTATCAGGGGATGGAAGGTGTCCTAGCAACCAGAGGGTTTCCTTTTCTCCATCTTTGCCTCACTAACAACACTGTACAGTACATTGGTCAAGGTACAGCACTTATCTTGTGCCTCTGTCCAGTGGAGCATCCTTTCATTTTGAGCAAGTGGGGTGTCATGACTGGGGAGCAGGGAAGTAGGTTTTTCAGCCTAGCACTCCCCATGCTGTCCCATTATTTTCAAAAACTCTGAGATCACTAGCTCAACAATGTTATGTTCCCTCTTTGCACCCTCACCCATTATGTCATCCATTTCAACACACATACACTTTTTAAAAGAAACAACTCTTGCTTTCTGTCAGTTTTTATCATTCCAGCATGTTTTTCTCCCTTATATGTACCACTGTGTTCCACAGCATTGGCTGTAGCTGTGCTTCATATTTCAGAGGCTGCTGTTTCAAAGGAAGCCACAGCAAATAGCAACTGTAATTGTTTTTTAAGGGGGAGAGGAGACTTGTAGCCAATGTGAGGACATGAAATGGATAATACAGTGTTAGAAAGCTATTTCCTGTTTTCTGCACACCTGTCCTGCTGTTGCTGTCTTGTCAGGACTATGTATGACATTTGCTGCCAGGGCAGCAAATACTTCCCCCATCCCAAATTAAGATATTAATGAAATACATATTTTTTCAGCACAGAAGAGAGAAAATGCTACAGGTGCCTCTATCCTTCCCTAACAGTAAAAATACAAGAAAAAGCCAAAAATAGCTAACCATTTTCTCTTTTGTGAGATTCCAGATCTGCTGCCTGAAGTGGCCAACCCGTTCTGCCAGCCTTAAGTTCTGTTAACAGAAAAAACTAGCCTTGGACCCACTGGCATAATGTATTTCTTGCTCATGTGTGGCACAACTCCCAAACTATAAAATCAGTATAGTAATAATTTAATATTAAGCTACCCGTATTGTAGCATGTAGTAATTAAAGATAATGCCTGCCATGAGCCTTGCATAAAGGCTCTCTCTAAACCAAATTACCTTGGCCAGGTTACTCTGCAAATGGGAATAAGCTGCAGTATCTAAGGTGGTGCATGCTCCATACACCTATTTTCTTTTTTGTATTTTTAAGTGCCTTCACACAAAACAATTACTTTGTTTTTTAAAAAAGTGGACTGACATTTTATTGCAAAAGTAGTTTAATGGGAAACTGCCAACAGTGGACATACTGTACAGTGTTTCTTCCCTTGCCCCCTGCCTCTCCTGTTTCCCTTAAAGTGTTGTCATGACAAGTTGTAAAACTGTTTCATAAGCCTCCAGTGGCGCTAAAAAAGAGGCTTATTAAAGGATTCCAAGCTACTAGCTTCTCATTATGAAAATAAGCACCTACAGTATTACTCTTATGGAAGACATTTGTATCTTTGGGGCCTGGTTGTCTATTTCAATCTTTCTGGCAAGAAAAAAAAATGGGGCCACCCATACCTGGCTATTAGCCAAAAGGTATGGTATAAATAACATAAACTCACTAAAATAAAAGCACTCACTAAAATCAGCATAAACAGATACTTTAATTATAGACATTTATTATTTTGAATATTCAGAGCAGGAAGCAGAGGGGGCAAATTGGAACATCCAGGAATGGAAAGCAAGCTGGGATATGAACGTTCTTTGTCCAACACCTGAAGAGAAAGAACCTTAAGAATTGTGGATAATTCAATGGCTGTGGAGCCAGAGGGTGGGAGTTCGATTCCCAAGTGTGCCTCCTTGACAGGGTCTGGACTCAATGATCCATGGGGTCCCTTCCAGCTCTTCCATTCTAAAATTATTATATTCATATCCTAGCCTGCTTTCAGCCGAGGTTAATCTGTTTGCTTGCATCTTTTTCATTTTTCCCAGGAAACTAGGATATTGCCTTTTTCCTTTTTAAAAAAAAATGAGGCTAAAAGGATTAATATATCAAGAATAGTCTCACAATTATTACTGATATAGATTAATCATTCTAAAGAATTCTCAGAATCAGTAGCCTGCAATAGAATTACAGCTCTAAGATTTCTTGTGTTTTTTTTTTAAATTTGGTCACTGCATGAACAGCAACAACACAAACTTTGTTAATACAGATTAGTATTTTACCAGTAGTTTACTCTTATAATTAAAACTAAGGTCTTTATAGTTCTAGAGTTTATACTTAGGCACTGCAGTGCCACTGATAAATTTGATTTTAGTACTACAGTACTGGCTTTTGCAACTTGCTTTTTCTTTGTCTGCAGTTCTCTGTTCTAAATTAGGTGAGAGCCAGTTTCAGTTTTGTTCATCTCACTACAAAAAGGTATGGGAAAACATGATCTCACTGGATAGGAATCAGCAACAGCATGCCTATGTGTTTCATAACTGCTGCTCTAGCATCTGTCAGAAGCTTACAGTAGCAGCAGGCAGTCTCTTGAAGAGAAACAAGGTTGTGCCTGTCACAGCAGGCAAACAGGAGGCTGCAGCAAATGAAAGCTGACGAGGTATTTACTTCCACTGAGGGAGGAAACACGACAGATGTTTGAGGTGTTACGCAGCAGGGAGAAACAGTAAGAAGTGGGCAAGGAGCAACTATAGAAATCTCAGGGGAGGAATGGCTTGTCTACTTGCCGCTTGTCATTAGAGCAAAATTTTGAGAATCTCGTTTATGCTGTACAGACTTTGAGCTATAAAATAGGTTTAGACCTAGGAGTGAAATTGTTTTATTGAACTGAATTGCATTTGCATAACACTTTATGTACTTCTGAGTTGCCTAAACCTTTTGAAGAATTAAAGTTGTCACCCAATTAAAGATTTCTTATTAGACTAATGAAATTAGTTTTAGCCAAATTAATCAATTACATGCATGATGAGTGTTTGTGGGTGTTTTTTCTTTGTCTTAGGCAGCAACATATCTTGAGGTGTCTAGCAAGGAGAGACAATAATCCCAAGATGTAAAAATGGGTATCAGTATTTTATTCAAAGATAAGAGCCCTGATACTGATACCCATTTTTATATCCTGGGACTGTCATCTCTCCTTGCTAGACAGCTTCAGTGGATCTACCAGTCCTTTTTGTTTTTGTAGCAATACTGTATATCTTGAGCCAAGCTGATGGCTCATGATAGGGTTAGGAATGTTCCCTAGTACCGCAAAACTTACTTGAGCCTTTTAAAATAGATGATGTAATGAATACACATTACAATTGATAGAGGAAAAGCCCGTAAGGTATTAGGCCTGAATCTAAAATTACCTATCTAATTGCATCAAGTTAACTTTAAAACTAGGTAAACTCCAGGTTGTTTCTAGCATATTTTTGTATGGTTTTGTATGGTTTGGATTTTAATTCATATACAATAAAAAAACAAAAATACAAACCCTACCTCCTTTTTATTTGCATGTGCTTATTAAGGCATCAGCATGGGAATAATTACATGCATATATACAGTATATTTTTAGAAAAGTCATATATGACTAAGGGAAAGACCATTACTTATTTTTCATTGCATATACAGTAAATTAATCTCAGTTTACTAACATTTTAAAGATATATTGAGGGATAATGCCATTACCTTTTCTAAAGGCTTGAATCAAAGCATAGTCATGGAATCTGATTTTCATAGGAAGATTTCCTCCTGAAATATTTAACAAGATATTAAAGATGTGTCCAAACATGAGCGGAGAGATTACTCAGTACCCCTAAATAACTATAGCTTGTTTCTACACACTTAAAAATAAGGAATGAGGACGGGACAGATAGTGGAAGATCCTAGATAGGCTTATGCCCTGATACCTCTTAGAAATTAAACACTTTTTGCATCTTAATCCAAAGGTATGCAGCTCAAACTAGGAACTAGGCCACTAGTAATTTGCATATGATTATTAATCCAGATGTATGCAAGTAGATATTTTCTAGCACCAGTGCTGAAGGTAGAACATGCATGCTCCTGCACAACATAAAATGACTGCTAAATAACTGTTACACTGGATAATTGGCAGAGTAAGGGTTCTGCTTGATATACTGTACAGGTTTTTTTTTCCCCAAATGAGGATGTGTGATCCACCCTGCTCTTTGCACTAGACTGGCTCCTATCATATTTCCTGCAGGTCAGAATATAAAGGCTGTTTCCGTAAGGGAGAATTGTATTCGCAGCTGGTGGAAAATATAGGACAATAGTAGCCATCATGAGGATGAGAAATCATGGGAAATATAGGACAATAGTGGCCATCATGAGGAAAATGCAGAATGCCATCTGGGCTACATAAAATGTCCTGGATAAAGCAGGAGAAGCTGATGGGAGAGAAAGAAGGTTTCCTTCTTTCTTTTCACACTGTGGTCCTGCCCCCAGAATACTGCAGACCTGTGTTGCTAGGTCCGGGATACAATTCTTAATTGTATTATAAAGGAGGCTTGGGTTTGATTCTTAACCAGTGGAAATGTGTGTGTGTGTGTTTTAAGGAAGGCATGTAGCTCAGTAACCGAGCTGATGATTTGCACATATAATTTATCTTACGCTTCGCCCTTGCTGAGATCTTCCTTTTAGAAAAGAGCACAAGTTGGCTTCTTCTTTCTAGAGTATCTTTCAGTAAAATTGTTTAAATACTGCTATAAATGATCCATTTCTTTTTACAAGGATATATCAAAAAGTCTTTGTGCCTATTTTCTCTCGTTTATTATTAAATAGATGCAAAGACTTCAATATATCCTCACATTTCCCATCCTCCCTCCAAGGTGGGCAAGTCGGTATACACAGCTCCACCATACTGGAACCTGGAAAAATTATGTTTTTTGGACTGTAATTCTGACATG